CTTCAACCCTTGTTTCTCAAGTTCAAGCCTACTGCCCTAAGCAGCAAGCCATCCATCCTGTCTTCACCTTAACTATTTACTAATTTGCTTTTGTGAGCAGGTCACCACTACCTATGAAGGTATTTTTATTACAGTATCCCTTAGTGTTTTTTAAATAGTATCTTAGTATGCTATTATTATTAATCTATGTAAATAAAATCATATTTAAAAATTCCCAGATCAATTATTATCACAGCTAAAATGCATGCTGGGTTTTTCATTTTTTATTCTGCCTCTAATCTGTAACTTGTATATGGAAGATTTTCTGTTTTTTCATATATTGCACATATGTATTTTCAGGAGGAAAATTTCTCTTTAATCCCTGAGAAAAATGAAGGTCATTGGGAACACCTCTGAACCCCCCCCCCCCCCCAAAAAAAAAAAAACCCAACCAAAAACAAAAACAAAACAAAAAACCCTTCTTCCAAGTGTCTTTTAGAATAAACAGTAATTTTCTGGATCCTCATTCATTTTTTTTAAACAGATAAAAGGTAGACAGAATTACCAATTTCACTAAAAACAATGAATAAGACAAAACAGGATGCAGATAACAGTTTGTAATAATCTAGCATTGATTATGTGTATTTAAGTACCACTCTATATTAACATATGAAATATATACATCAGCCTTAAGACAAAACAATAATGAAGATTGCTTTCTTTCTTTCTAAAACCAGCAAAATTAGATGAGAGATGAATTTTCTTGGGGTTGTATTATCTGACAACAGTGACTGTAGTAAGTTATTACTCAATGCTGTGATAACAGCTTTCCTGTTTTGTAAAAGACACAGCAATTCCATATTATTAAAATTATTTGTTTGCTATGCTGTGGCAATAAGCTGGCAGGCAGCTGTTACAAGGAAAACAGCTCACAGTCCAGATTTAAAGAACTGGGAATGGGAAAAATGGAAACAGTAAAAATAGGCTGCCCTAAGAAAGGGAGGAGGTGGGGAAAAGGGGGCACACTTGTTTTTCTGAGGGGTAGGGGTTTAAGCGACACAAAAAGGGAGTGAAGTGCCCAACTGCCACTGACTATACATAGATTTTCAAGGAGCTAAATTCATTTAATTTGTCCCTCTTGTCCTGTGAAGTTATAGTAATTTACAGTTGGGAAGGAAATTATTTTAATTCATGAAAAAGATTGATGAAAAGACAGATGTGCTATCTAATTTTTTTCTATGAAATGATTCTGGTGTTCACACAACCTCCCTCCACCCACACATTTTCTTCCCTCTCCCCTCTCAATGTCAAGCTGAACATTGATATGCAGTTTTCAATAAAAATGTGGACTTGAACACTTATGGCGGGGATGGTGGTATGGGTGGAAGAAGGGATTTCTTATCTGACCAAAAGCCAAGCATTTCCTTTTCCCCATGGATGATTTTCACCTGCCTCTACAAAGGGTCATCAAAAGAGCCCCGAACAGCTGAATAAACTGTGGGGAAAAGCATTCTGTGCAAGAGGAAAAGCTTGCAGAATGGAATGGAGATGGAGACTGGAGCTTTGAGACTGACACTTCTGGTGGGCTTGAAGACTGAGGAGTATACAGTGAAATACGAGCTTGGAGATGCACACCAGAGATGTACAGTACAGGCTTCTGAAGACTAAACAAGAAGTTTAAATCTTAATGTGGTGGGCAAAAGGGAGCCACAGGAGAGATCTGCAAAGTAGTATGATAGGATTGGATCAACAGACGAGGAAGGAAATTACTAGAGGGTTGCCTTTTGGACTGGCTGAAAGGACCAATGTAGGTGTCAGAGAAGCTGTAAGGGCTGCAGTAATTAAGACGGGAGACAGTCAGGTAAGAGATTAATGATTTAGCTGTCAAGATAGAAAGAAACAGCTGGAATGTTAATATACTGTGAAGAAGATATATCAGGCTTTAAACACAGTCTAGATTAGTAGAGGAAAAAAAAGAATTAATATTGGGGAAAAAATAGAGCATTGAACAATTTCAATTTAAAGTCTTCCCTTCTCTTGTTTCTGCACTGGGTTTGCTCTTGGCAAGCTGTCTCTACTGTCTGAGTGGTTTACTGAAAGTGATTTGAGTAATTGATTATTTCATTTAATTAGGAGATAATTTCTCTTTCCTCTGTGTACACAAGAGCAAACTTCATGTGGTAAACTGTCTCTGAATGTGAACAGATCAAGCACAGTTTATACCCTAGCTAAATGGAAGATGTCAATATTCTATTGCTACTGGGGGCTAGAGAATTAAATTAACTTTCTGAAATCATTTTTGAGAGCTCAGACAAATCTTTGGGAGTTCACTTAACATCTCACTGACTCATTCTCATTGTCAGTAAAGCACCAGTTGTACAGTTTCAGGCATCCTGGCCATGTCATTCCCATATCTTTGTGGCACTTTTCAAATCAACAGATCATGTACCATCAGAAGTTATGTCTGCATGTACTTCCACAGATGTGTGCATGCTTTAAGGTTGCAAAAGGGATTAAAGAGGAAAGTACATGGCCAGATATTATCCAATACTCTGCATTAACAACACCTATTCACAATCTGAAAAATGTGCTTCCCCATTCAGGTGTCTAAAGGAGACCTGAACTCTTTGGAGAACTATAGCCCCAACATAAACTACTGAGCACTTCCAAAAATCTAGTGTACAGAAAATGCAAAGGTATCTGGCAATGTAGGTCTTTGTTCTTTATTTCTTCTTTCTTTTTCTATGGGACTATTCCTTAGCAGTCTGCAAAAATAAAGCTCATTGCAGTTGGGGCCTCCTAGGCTTACTCTAATAGTGACAGCAAAAGTATGATCAATTGTGTGAATTACTTTTTTTCATAGTTATCTAAACTAAAACTGTCATCACCTATGATCAGGTATCATTAAGAACAGGCAAAGCATTCAAATAAATAGTCCCAAGTATTTATAGTTCAAACCTGTTTCCATAAAGTAAATGGCAGAACTCCCCTTGACTTCAATGATGGCCTTTTAAAAGGACTACCTCATTTAAATGAGCATACTAATTTTTAGGTCCTGGCACCCAACCTGTGCAATGCATCCTCCAGTGATACCACAGCGGCTAAACTAGTTTACAGGTGCAGAGCACCTAAGCCACAGTACATATCTGCAAAGCCAAGTAAGTGCCTCTTTGCAACCAAGTGCAGAATGTTTAATCCACTTAGGAATTTTAACTGCATGTGTGGAAGTCAAATGGGGCTGCCAAAGGTTCGCTTTGTTTCTGGTTTCTGATCCTGCTCTAATTGAAGTCAACAGGATATTGGTCAATGACTTTACCAAGATCAGGATTAGGACAACTAGCCATCTTTGCTTATACCTGAGTGTAGACCACTAGTGGGACCTGGAATGGTAGAAGTTTTCCTGCCTTCCAAGAAAAGATCAAGAGGCTGCATTAATAAAGGAAACAATGTTAATACCTTGAACCTTTATGCGCTGTTTTTGTACTCACACCTCACAAAGTGTGAACAGGGTATAAATGCAGAATTAACACACAGGCACATACAGATATGCAGACATCCACCCGCCCCCACCCTCTAACAAAATGAAGCACTTAGCCAGCCTGCAGGTTGTCTACAAATAACATAGTGATATTTTATAACAGTCTACAATGTGGCAGAAAGAAGAAAGGGCCCAACCCATAACTGATCCTTTGATTACACTGGGAAATAATTGCTTTCATGTTTTGATTATGTAATACTCTGGATTCCTCTTTCACCCAGAGAGACTAAAGAGGAAAAGACTACACAAGCATGTCAGCCAGAGACTGCAAAAGAACAGCCAAGAGTCATGGAAGCCATAGTTCAGGACTTTCCTCATCCCTTTGTGAAAAAAAGCACATGAAACTAGTGCAGGAGCTGGGGATGGAAGATTAAGAAAAGAACCAGTCAGGAGGCTCTGGGAGTGAGATAATCAGTGAGTATCAGAAGTCTAATGCACAGAGAAAGAGGAAAATAGCCACCTTGGTTGCAGGCTGAGTGGCAGAAGCACAAACTGGGGAATCTAACCCAAACACAAAGAGGCATGGCGTACTGAGCCATTTCCCAGGTTGGGAAGAAAGGAGCCACAACTTGCAGAAAAGACATTCTACCCAGCTCTGGCTACAAAGGGTAAGCTGATACTCCTTGGAAAAGAGGGACTTCAAGCAGCCAAGACCATCTGAGGACAGCACCCTCTCTGGGCTGAAGAAAACAACCACAAGTTATAATAATAGCTGTCACAATAATTAGGATAAAAACAATATTCGACTGCTGTTGCATTTTATCTCTAGTTATCCTCCCCACAAAAACATGGTCACACCCATCGTGTAGTCTTATTCTTAGCAGATACACATAAAGACACTATGCTAAGCACAGTGAACAACGGTTCCTTTTTGTGGCCATGTTTGTTTTGCATTAGGTGTATTCTATAAACATCCTCAGTAAACTGTTCAGAGAGAACAGAGAAAAGCAGCTTCAGACAATGAATTCTATGTTGTAACTGATAGGCTGTCTATCAGCTCACTTTGCAATAAACGTTCTTGGCAGCTGCTAACCCCAAAGTTGATATTTGAAAATAGAAAAATGCTTTGTTGCAGATTCAGTTTACAGTATTTGTGCCCAGGAGGTCTGGCTCTTGGATATATTAACTCACACTGTCAATAAGACAATTTCTACTTAAAACAGAAACATCTGTAAAAAAAAAAAAAAAAAAGTTGGCAAATTCACTATGCATTTTTGTTTTCATTAAAGTTTCTGCCACTATTCCACAAATCCATTCAATGTTAGACAGGCTAAATGGAGTCATTATTTCATTTGAAACATCATCAGAATATACAACACAAGCATGCTCTTTCTCAAGGAATGCAGTCAGGAGCAATCTTTGTTTTTTTTGAGAATGCCACAGGGATTTATTAGTTGATCCATCAAAGCAAAGATCAGGGGTCTATGATGCTGCCCAAGCCATGGATTGACAGTTCTTGGATGAACACAAACAGAAAACCCACCTCTTGGTGTAGTCGTGAAGTTATCTGTCACAGGATGCCTTAGTTCAGGTTTCTGCAGTCTGAAACAAATCAAATGCCTCAGTCAATTACCACTACTCAAAGAAAAGGCTCTTAAGTGTCTGACAACCTTGAAATCCAGCTGAATGTTATAAGAAGGGGATGTAGAGGCCCAGATTCTTTCCTGTGGCCTGGCTGATTTATACTTATGCAAATGCTCCCTTATGTAGCTCGATCTTGGAGGAAAGCTCTGGTGACATACAGCATGAAGAATAGCTTCTGTGCCTCTACTGCTCCCTTGATTGCCATTGTAAAGGATATGGCCAGGGCTTCCTTGCAGTCTACCGAAGGCCTTGTTGTACATTAATTTTAGGCAGCTCCTGGAGCTCTCAGCCCCTGGATTGTCCACACATGAACACCTGAAACTAATTTTAAGCACACTTTAGGTGGCTTAAAGTTACACCACTCCAGGGCAGGTTTTTCTCTGATCCATTTTACCAGGTTGTGTTCCATTAATGTGTGGCCACTCCTTAAATGGAGTTCCCTAAATTGTAGCCTTCCAGCAGCCTAGGATGCAGTATCCCCTTCGCCACCCTCCTGTTCTGTGTGGCCCAACTTTCCACCCCTGAACTCAACTGATGGAGTGGGGTGAGTTCTGGCACAAAGCCAACTCCTGCCGCCACTGCAGGTGGGACCATGCCACCCCCAGGGGTGAAACCCTGAGCAACTAGCCTGCAGAGTATATGCCAGCTAGCCAGGTCACAGGGCATGGATGGATCTAGGAGTGGAATCTAGTGGAGGCTGGGGGGAAACAAGGTAGGCAGCTGGATCAGGTCTCCATGAACTGAGGTTTCTTTCCTGGGGCAGGGGAAGCTCCTCAAAAGTGCCTTCTCTTGTTGCTCTCACCTCCCAGCCACCTCAAGATGTATGACCAGCACCCCCCACACCCCAATCCCAAACATGGTATCTTCTTTAATTTGCTTCCTCTTTATTTTTTGTAATCCTTTGTTTAACTTTTTATTTTATCCTTCAATGGCTGACTTCTTTCATTTCACCACCCTTCCCTCATCCCCATTTCTTTTTACTTCCCATTTTATTACCCACCCCCATCTCATTAACTTTCTGCCTCCCCACTCCATGTTCCCTCTCCCTACACTCACCCCAACCCATCTCTCACACACCACTACCTGAAGCAGGGATGGAAACCTGTCTTGACTCACCAGCCCTACACCAGCAACTCACAGCTGTAGCTCCTAGTCAGGTCCCTGGTCACCAGACCTCTAGTGGCAAGTGACAGCTGTGCAGGTAGGGGACAGTCAGAGAACATTTTAGCTTTAAGTTGTGACTGCTCCAAACCTGAGCTAGCACTAACACTGACCAACATTTGAGAAGCTAAAAGTGCAATGTGTAACAAGGCCATGAGGCGGGTGGAATCTAGTGCAAATAAGAGCAGCATTCAAACTGCACTACCTTATGCCCAAGGCTTGGCTTTAAAAACAAAAATATGCAGATTTGGGGCACATAATGGTGATTTAAAGCTACATTTTCATATCATCCTCCCTTCTAAATTGCCATTCGCTTTTCAGAGGCCTGCTTGCTAGATGGGCTAGAGTGCCTTATAACACCAGCTGAGAGAGGGCTATGCATTTGTATTAGAAAGGAGGAGCGTATCCTTTACATCAAGTCAATACAACCATTTCAAAAAAGAAAATTCCAGCAATTAAAATATGTGAGACAAGTCCAGTTTTTTCACTTGCATAACAGGAGATTTGAGAGGGTCCAACAGATATCACATGCCCCATTCTGCTATACCCTGTACAAACATAACCACAGTTCCAGTCAAGAAGAGATTACAGTCAAATTGGACAAAGGATAAGTGGGGAACCACACCTGGCATAGAGAGGGAAAGGGACTCTTTCAAGCACACATAGCAGATGTCTGGCAGAACTAGGAAAAGCCTCAGCCCAGTGCCCTCTCCACTCTCTATGCTATCTCTTGGATATAATTTTTCTAAGCATTAGCTAGAAAATAGAATACCAATTATTGTTTTATTTCCCCTGTACAGAGCTATGTCCCTCTCAGAGGTTTGCCATTTTCCCTACTGAAAGACTGATTTTGATAATGAAGAGCAGGACTGAAAGAATAAAGCATCATCACAAAAGCCAATGTTTAAGGCAAGTCTTTAAAATGTATGGTTTATAATTCCTGTTGAATTATGCTTAATAAAATATAAATAAATAATAAATAATAATGGGTTAAATGCTGGCGCATTAAAGATGTAACAAATAAGATGCATGTGGTAATGCATGTGGCTGCTCAGTGTAATAATTACCAACTATTTACCTAATAAAAGGCTTCTCACCATCCCACTGTATCACTGTCACAGTGGAGGAATTTCCTTTTCCTTCATGGCAAAGGCTGCATGGTGGTCACACCTAACTAAAGAAAATGGACTCCTCTGAAGCCACAGTACCAGGCACTACCTTTGCCCACCATCACCCTCAGTGCTCCCATGGTATTGTCCCTACTTGAGTGATTTTTTGCAGGAATTATCCATGGTGCTGGAGCAGGAAATGATGTGCATTTTCCCTGCTTCTTCCCTCTCCATTTGATTCACTCACTTTCAACTCCTTATCCAAGCACAGGTCCCAGACCTGCACAGAGGCCACTCGGGGCCTGGAAAGGGCGGAATGGATTTATGGGTGGTGCAGTACCATGGTCACACCCACCTTTGGCTGCATGCAGCATGCACAGTGACGTCTCAGATCTCACCTGCACCTCAGTGCAGCTCCTGCTGGGAGTTCTGCATGTGCTGCGAGCTCTATGAACTATCCACTGGTCCAAATTCAGTAGCAAGGGAAAGGAGGGGAGAAGCAGCCAGCAGCAATGCACAGGCCCTGCTTTCATGCAGCTCTTGAGGCTCTGTGCTGCCCCTGCTTCCTACCTCCTCCTTTTCCCACTGCTAAATGCAACAGGGTGGAACGGGGAGGGGAGGGAAAGAAAGAACAAAGAGCATCAGGCTCTGGAGCTGCTTGAAAACAAGGACTCCAAGCAGACCCTAAACAGCTGAGCTGGGGGATCATATGTGGAGCTCCAGCAGGAGCTACTGAGAGTTCACTCATATCTGGGATCACAGTAAGGGGCTGATGCTTTCCTCAATGAGTTCTCTTCACTGTGCATGCATGTGTATGTATGTGCTTCAGCACAAGAAGGTATGATCACACCTATACTGCTGCAATCCTGGATCCAGCCAGGTGGGGATAGTACTGTGAAGGTAGCTTAGCCCCACACCTTACACAAACAGAAAGAAAGTCTGTGTGCAACAGATCTCTTCTGTATCTAGGCTCATCAGGGAACATTAAGCCAAAAGCATTGGTTAAGTCAGGGCAATTATGGGGGAAATATAAAGTGCTAATGCCAGTGAAACAAGAAAATGACAGCATGTACTGATGCCTCTACTGACAGTGGATTGAGAACTCTATAGTCACACTGTGCTGTAAATAAAATCATTTATTCACAAACTGCAATTTAAGGTGACTAGGCCTATGAATCATAGTTCACATTGCACATCATGTGGAAATGCTATGGGGGATCTTTAAGGAAGGGGCAGTGCTAGTTTTACTTTCCAGCTTTAAAGCCAACAAAAGCAGGTGATGGCCACTTTCCAGTGGGAATGTATGTGGCTGCCCTGAACCAAAACACTGTCGTGCAGATGACTAACAACAGTCAGAGTGTTCCTGTTCATTTTGCCTGAATAAAAACCATATTGAACTTGTGAACTAAAATGTTCACTGCTGTGTGTGTGTGCATGCACGCATGTGGTGGGGGGGGCACAGTAAGGATAGGCAAGGAAATGACCAACATCAATGGGAATAAAAGCACATTGCACTTTTATTCAACTTTAAAACAACTGTAAAATGCAAGGTAGGTTGGGTTATCTACCCATTTTATACAAGGTCTGATCCAAAGTCTACTGAAGCCCATGGGATCGAGTTCATACACAAGAAACAGGCAGAGTACTGACAATTCAAAACAACCCATTTACTGAGATACAAATAGAAGCCAGGGGTCTCATTTTCCCGTGTTTTATTTTTGCAATACAGTCTAAAAGTGCAGTAGGTCTGTCTCATATCTAATTTATACAGGCAGGTCTCATAAGAAGATACGAGGTCTGCAGTACAACCAGGAGAGGGGTAGGGTGGAAAAAACCCTGTTTATCTCCTTTTTCTCACTTTCCCCCCCAGCCAGTCATCTCCTACAGTACATTGGTTGGGAGTGGTCCCTATTATCCTGGGTTAAATCCACATGTCTGAGAAGGAAAGCAGCTCTAATCCTGCCAGACTTGCTAAATGAGATTTGGCTCTAAATGCTGAGCTGGCCCCACCCTATCATGCAGCATTGTCTACAAAAGATTTAAGTCCTTTATGAAGGTGCTACATGTTCCAGATATTCAGTAACTGCCCAAGGGAAAAAATTCCATCACTTAACAACTTCCATCATTGAACAACTAATCTCTAACCTCCCCTCCTTCCTGGGCAACAAACCCTGTCCAACAGCCTCCTGACTCTGCCAATGTCAGACCCTACTGGACAGGATTCACATGAAAAGGTATGTGGGAGCTGGCATTGGTAGCCTGTTATTTCTATGTAATGTTAATAGTATGGTATCAGACAAGAAGATAATACAGAGACACAACCCAGGAGGCTCCAAAAAAAGGGGCTTGATTGCATCTTAAAGGCACAGTCCATAACATGTTTACTCCTTGACAATAGACAAACTTCCAGGCCAATACTGCTGGATTTGCTACCAGGTGTTAATACAAAATCATGACTTGTTGCTTAAGAAGGGTCAAAATTCACGCTGAACACTGCAGTGTTATTGGTGCCTGGACACTATGGTTAGGAGGGCAATATAAAATATACAGCTCATGCACCTGTAGGCCTAACCACTAGGGCTGTGTGAAATTTTGCTGGCTGTTTCATTTCAATGCTGTTTCAACTCATTTCGAGCTCAAAACAGTGAAATCTAAATGAAATGAAGTGGCTTTGAAACAGCGTTGAAACAAA